GAAACTCATTGGGGTAATCTGCACAAACAAGTATAAGACCAGCACACACACACACACACACACACACACACACACACACACACACACCAGTGTGAGCCACAGTGTTCCTGTCATGACTTGACTTCTCCCTTGTGGTGATTTAGAGTTTGTCTTAGGACGTACAGATTTTTTGTAGCATCTTTCAGACTGTGAGCAGAATGTTTGTTTGTTAATTGGTTTGTTTGTTGATAAAGATGATCCGTGTCTTTGTCACATGACCAGTAGGAGCACCAGAGCTGTCACATTTCAGTTTCTACACAAAGCAGCTTTTATACTGAAGGAGGCTCTAATACGTTTCCCACTCTGTCCTGTGGTGGGTTGTTCCACTTGTCCACTCCACTCTGGCCTAAAGTTCACGGGTACATCTCCATTCCCTTCTGCTTTCATGTTTCCTGGCTTGTGGCTTACGGTGAACACAGATCCACTGCTTTCCAGCAGATGCTGAATCTGAAAACCAGTTAAATAAGTGAATGAGTCTCAAATTGGGTCAGTGACTTGTCCACCTTGGTAGGAAAGAGCAGTGATGTCAGATTAGACGAGTCTGGTCAGCAGAGCTTTAATAAACAGGTGTGTCTGCTGTGGCCTCATCTACCTTCTGCATGACCCCTCAGAGCAGAGGAGGCCACGTTGTTGCTGGTGTGCTGGCACCGATCCGGATCGTCATTCGGATCCAGGACTACTGTGAGATAGGGCTGGTTTCACTGTGCTTGGACAAAAACTGCACAATAACATCCCCATAAAATCATCCACACACCACAGTCCGATCAGGATCTAAGTTGTATTCTGGATCTGCTGATCCAGATTGTTCACATTTATAGGGCTCATGGAAAACTGAAGCTCTGCTGACCCAGCGGGTCTCAACAGATCTGATGCGTCATCGCCAGTCTCTGAGCTACATCCTGAAGAAAACCACCATTTTTCTTGAATAGCTTTCAAACTAATAATGATCAGTGTGGTTCCACATGCCAGGGGAGGTTTTTGGGATCAGACCATATGATGAGGGTCAGTCTAATATGGGAGCATTGGGTTTAGGTGGAACGGCCTTATGGGGACATTGAGCGGCCTGGGTGGAGGTGTGCGCTCTCCAAGTGCTGTCTAGTTGGGTTCTGTTTTCATCAGTGTCTCTCCTTTGTTTCTTTTCAGCCGCTTGAAGTTGCTAAACGCCTCATTCATATTCCACTTGTTAAGTTAATTATATTTGTGTGGTCGTCGCTCTGCCTCAGCTTGTCATCACCATGTTTTACCATCATGGAGGTTGCAGTGACCTTGCTGTAGCTGGCTTTGTCTCGTCCTGCCGTCACGTTAGCTAGTTATCAGTCGGACACCCCGGGCTTCCTGAACCCGGCGTTGCCATTAGACTGTCTGACAGTGATGCGCCATCCCGCCGAGACGTTCTTGCAATCATACATGCATGTGGAAAGAAACCCTTGGCGCTCCGGGTATTGTCCGAAGATCACAGGCGTAGGTGAGTTGTTCTTTTTAATTAATCATTTGTCCTTCAAACAGGGGAAAGTTTCCGTGCCGTAGATAATTAGGTCCCCGAGTCGGGTGGCACTGAGCCGGCAGCCACCTGCTTCCTTTGTAGCGCTAATCTTTGTCTTGTAGGAGCGTCGTCCCTGAAGACGCCGCAGCAGCGTACGGCGAGCGAGCAGAATGAGAAACACCTCTGAATCCCCACATGATCCTCCTCCACCTCCAAGCTCCACCACCTCTCCCTCTCTTCTTCTCCTTTTCTTCCTCACATTCCCTGTGCTCTCTCTTCTCCCTGTCCTCCTCCTCCCCCTTCTTTTTCTTATTTCTATTCGCTTCACTTCGCCTTTACCCTCCTCCTCCTCTTCTTCATCTTCTCATTTTTGGTTACTCCTTCTCCTTCTTTCACTTCATTTGCTGCAGAAATTGTTGTTGCTGCTCTTCATCTTTTTCTTCATCTTGTTCCCTCTCCTCCTCCTCACTTTTTTCTTGTCTTTCCCTTACTTTTCCTCCAGTTTTGTTTTTCTTCTTTGTCCTGAAGCTGCTCATCCTCCTCTTCTTTCCCTTCTTCTTCTTCTTTTTTTCTTTTCATTCCCTCTGATCCTCCTTTTTCTCATGTTTTCTTCTCATCACTCCTTCCACTCATCCTCTTCCTTTCACTTCATTGAGGAGGTTGATCCCCCTCCTCTCCTCTTGGTTTTTTGTCTTTGTTACATCACCTCCTTCTCCTCTTCTCCTGTTCTTCCTCCTCTTCTTGTCATTTCTTCTTTCTCTTCTTCTTTTTCTCTTTTTTACGTAGAATTCCCTCACTTCTCCTCCTCTCTTCATTCTACTTTTTCTTTTCTTCCTCTTCCTCCTGTTGTAGTCATCTTTTCTGCTCCTCCTCCATTTTCTTCATTTTCTGTTCATCTTTTCTCTTTTCCTTTGTTACCCATCCTTTCTTCCTCTTTCTTCCCCTGCTCTTCATCGTCTGTCATCTTCTCTCCACTTTCTTCTGTTCATGTTTGTTTCCTTTTTCACCCACCTCTCCTCCTTCCTATGTCCCTTCTGTTCTGCATTCTTCCTCGTCTTCTTCTACACTTGTTTTTTTTCTGTTTCTACTCCCCCCCATTCTCTCCTCTCTCTCCTCATTCTTGCATTTTTAATTGTGAATGAACACACACACACACACACACACAGCCTTGGCGAGGAGATGTTGCTGTAGAAGTGTGTGTGTGTATAAAAATGCAAAGGGAGTTGAGTGTGTATGACAATGAAAGTTAGATCCCGAGTGTGTGTTTCTGTGGGGAAACTAATCCCATTAATTCAAAGTGAATAACAAAGAGAGAGAGAGTCCAGCTCCCCTGTCGTTCATCTGTTCTCCCTCTCTTTCGTTTCTCCCTCCATCATGTTTATTCCTCCGTCAGATCGGCGGCTGATTTCCTGGAGGACTGAGAGAAAACCGATCGACTGACAGAGGGATGGTGGGAGGAGAGAGAGGAGATGAAGGTTAGGCTCCTCCTGGGAAGCCTCCTGCTTCTTCCTTCTCTCCCTCTTTTCCTTCATTCCTTTTTGTCTGTATACATCTTATGCTCTTTCTTTTTACTAGTTTTTTACTTTTCTTCTTTTTCTCCAACTCTTCCCTCGTCTTCTTCCTCTTCTTCTCTATTGATGTTATTTTTATCTTCACTTCCTTTCACCCCTTTTTCTTCATCCTTTT